CTCATGGAACTGTTCACTTGAGACTTAAAAATGTCCTTCAAAACACTGATTACAGCACGGGCAGGAAGGCCCATGATGTCATGCAAGAGACAAGGACATTTCCATGTAGCGGTAGTTCTTCCCTGGCTGTTTGGGCAATTGAAAAAAAACATATGAGACATCTGCCAATTTTCCAGACAGCTTCAAAACCCAGTGCTGTTTTTTTTATACACACCCCCTGTCTATGTCTTTTCAAATGTTTACAGAGTATTTACAAAAAGTAGTCCTTTGGGTAGCAGATGTAATTAGGGAAACTGGCAGTGAAAATTAACACATAGCATAGAAGAGGGATAATTGTTCCACTGCCATATACAATATTATTATCAAATGGTATTCACCCAGGAATCCAATTGGTTCATACACACTAGACCTCGTTGTTGCAGGAGAGACCTCCTTCCTCCTTAACCTGAGCACGAAGCTGCGGCGTTCCACTGCTGATGGGGCATATGGTACTTAACATCAGAATCAGAATGAGCTTGTGCCTTTTGTGTGAGATGCTGAAATTTATTAGAAGATCAGAAAGCCTAATTTCCACCAAGTTCCTGAGACCTGCCATCTGCTGCATGAAAAAGAAAATGGAGAGTTTTTTAAAAGACCATTTACTTATTGTGAAATGTGAGCAAGCTAGTGTATTTGTTTGAAAAAGCAGGGTGGGGGTGGGGGACTGTAAGAGAGAGCCAGAGCGAGCCCACTTGGCAGGGCAGAAAGAACTGGCAGCTGAATGGTGGCGAAGGCTTGGGAAGCAATAATTATGGAAATTATGTATTTCGGAGACTTTTTTCTCTCCTCCGGACCACATGGTCTTTCCACATGTGATCAGCACACAGAGTTTATCTTTTGCAAGGAAGCCACATTTCCTGTTTCAGAAAGAAGCACTTAACCAAATCCTTGTCTCTCCGCAGTGGTGTGAATTAAGTCAGTAGCTTGACCAACAAGACTCAATGGCAGAGGTGCCTAGAACTCCTTCTTCATGGAGCTTCAGGAAAAGGGGGGCAGGAGGGTGCTGGTTGGGAGAGGGATCTGAACAGGGGAGAGCTTTCACCAGGCTGGGGATGCTGGGATAAAGATGCTGACTGGCTTTCAGGAGGGCACCCAATGTCTTTCTTTCCTTTTGGGACAGTTTCAGTATTGGGTATTGTCAAGTTCATGAGATGTGCACATGCAAATAGCAATCCTGTTCCTATGTACTACAGACTGGAGGGCTTGAGTTTATTGTGTTTGTTTATTTTTACTCCTGTTTTTATATCAAAGCTGGAAGGTCTGTTGGAACTACTTGCCACTGGCCCCATGGCTGGGTTTCTCACCTCTGACCACAAGTAGTTTTCGTGAAATAGACCTCTGGTATCAGCCTACCTGAGCCTGAAATGCAACAGTGGTGGGGCTGGGGTCTTAGGGTCAAGTGCTGGCTGAGGCAGGCCTTTCTTAAATGATATCCAAAGTGGGTTAAGTACAGGCTCCTCAATAGACATTTCATGTATGAGACAGCCTTCTGAAGGAGCCTAGAGGTATTTCCAAGATCAAGTTCAGGGTTCTGGGAATGCTTTTATGAGAGTGACCATTTGGGAGCATAGGCAAACCCTCAGTCCCTACCATCCTCAGATGCTCATGAGGGCGACATCACACAGATAGGCAACCAACAATGATCTGTTGAATGCAACCATAAGTGACTTTGCAAAACTCCCCTCTCAAAGTCAATCTCAGAAAGAATCAGACACCAGCCCACCCCTCTGTGGAGGAATCCAGAGGGAGAGCGGATAAAGTGAGTTTCTGAATTTGCAAATGGATTTAGTGGGAAGAGAGGATAAGCCCAAGGGTCTAGCAGAATGAGGATGTGCTCCTCCTCCAAACATCCTCCTGCACAGGTGGCAAATACAGGGCCCACCTCCCCATGCCCTGTGGTCTCTGCAGTGCCAGGCTCAGATCTGTGCTGGCAGGAGTGACGCTGCTATTGTGTTGGCACCTAGGGGAGGCACTTCAGGTCTCAGGCTGAACTTCTGAGAGTTTAACATCAAAGGTGTGCCCCTTGGGGGTACCAGGCAGCAGGTCCCACTTGCTCATGGCAGGGGCCACCTGACTTTTTATTCCCTAGGCAACTGCGGGATCAGTAGTTTGTTCCTTGCCAGGAGACCAGTGAGAAGTTCTAATTTCCCTGTGGATCGCCCAGACCACTTCAAGATCAGCCTCTGGAAGTACTGCGGATCTAACCGAACCACGAGGTCAGGGGAGCTTGGGGATCCACCGCATTCTTGGGGTTGAAGACAAGCCACTGGCACCATGGTAAGCAGCTCTCATACTCTGTGTCCTGACTCCCCCAATCCCACCTACTGGTGAAAATGTATATTCTGTAAGAAGCGTGGCTATGATCTTTCCAGCACTTACAGGTGCTACGTATTTACACCTTTATGTCATTTAGCCCTAGGAGGAAGATACCATTTCAACCCATTTTCTAGATGAAGTAACTGAAGGTGGGTGAGATTTGGTGAAGGACCAGTGTGAAACAGCAAGTAAGACTTGAGATCAGCAATCAACCCTCTTGGTCTGACCCTAGAACCATTATTCTATAACCCCATAACAGTTTTCCAACAGTCGTTAGAACAATTATTTCCAGTTTAGCTCATGAGTAGACTGCGTTCAAAGAGGTTGAACGCTTTAAGGCACAGAGACAGAAACCATTTGGCCCAAATCCAAGCCCTTTCCTCTCAGCTGCACCCCTCCCTGGGTTCGCGGAGGTGATGTTACAACATAGAGCCCCCCTGACCCCCAGCCAGCAGATGGAGTGTGGAAAGTCATCTTTCCAGGAGAAAGATTTAGCTAATCCTTAACATTTTCAGACGATTTCATATTTCTTTGGGCCACTGACATTTCTCAGGTATGCCATAAGGAGGACCCAGGTAGCTCCAGAAAGATTCAGGTGCCACCAGCTAATGAGAGTCCCAGCCAGCTTGCTGATCTAGCTTGTTAACAGTGATAGTTCCAGAATGTGAGAGAATGTCAGCCCTGCTTGTGATCCTTACCCATGTCAACCAGGCCTTCAGCTGCATGAGGCGAGGTGGCTTCCTGAGAATTCCATGCCAGCTGGGCACTAAAGTCTCTGGAAAAGCCTCAGCACATTAGTTATGTGGGACCAGTCTGTCATTTGCTTCATTTTGCAACTGACAAAGTTGCTCTGATTTCAGTGGGCAGGAGAACCTCACTTTTATAATTACATTATAATATGTATAATATTTATGCTACTTATGAATGGGCTTCTTCATGACCTATAAGCTTGAGACCTTCAATGTTTAGCTCTGCCACCGACTTCAGGGAACACTGAATACCAAAGACAAGCAGATTACATGTCTCACTGACCCCAAATTCATCAAACCGAGGTATGCCATCTGAAGCAGTTATGACCCAGAAGCAGATGATAGGGTTACAACCCAGTAGCAGACTGCTTGACTACCCTGTGCCTCAGTTTCCTTTGCTGTACACCAGGAGGGTGTCCTGCTCTCTGGGGACTTAGACGGTGGGCATGGTGTTTTCATTTGATATGACACTCTTGCAAAAGTTACTAGGATAAACAATTACAATCCCTATTAGTGTTGAATTGAAATATCTGGAGATATTTAAAGATTTTCATGTGTTCAGACTTCAATTGAGTACTTAATTATTCAGTAAGTATTTATTAAATACCTACTATGTACCAAGCATTGTCTTGAACCTTTATTTAAAATGTAGATAAATGGAAATTACTTCCTGACCCTAAGGAGTTTGTATTTCAGCAAAGAAAAGAGGAGAGAACCTTGTCCATTGCAAAAGTGCTACCTGAGTTTGGGGAGAGTGGCAGGGGGGTAAGGTCTGGGCAGCGGGAGTAGGTGCTCAACTGAAGCATAAATGAAGACAGCTCTAGAGTAGGTATTGAATGCCAGGCTAGAGTGGGGCCCATCTGGAGCAGGGAGAGATAGAAAAACAAGGAGTAAGGGCTGAAGATGACATTGTGGTAGAAAATTGGCAATACAGCCAAGCCACACACTCCTGGTTCTAGAATAGAGCTGGCATGCTTAGTACCCCTCTGTTCTACTGACATCAGGTTCTTTCTCTTTAAATCCCTATCCATGAAAACCCAAATGTATGTCTGATATTTGTGGGACAAAAGTATTCTTTACTTTAGGAAGAACTCTTTAGAAAGAAACTGGACTTGCTTGGCTTTCACATATAATTTAGTGGAGGGTTAAGAGCTGAGGTTAGGAGCTGGGATTCGAGGGACTCCCTGCCTCTCCCTAAGCAGAGGCACTTATGGGCCTCCATCTTGTTCTGATGGAGAAATAGGAACAAGCACAGATGAATGAGAGAACCCAGAGAAAGTTTATTTGGTTAAATCTGTATTATTTGGTGGGTGGGTGGTAGGGATGAAATCCAGGACCTCACACATGCTAGTGAATCATTCTACATCCATAGCCCTATCCTTCTTCAATGCTGCTTCCCCACTATTTTCTCCCACTCTACTTCCTGCATGTACACATCAGAGTAGATTCATTTTTATAAAGAAAAACATTGTCCTTTCACTGCTATTTTGGAACTGACACCAACTGTGTTCCCTGGTCTCCTCCATGTCTAAACGCCCCCTCCCCTTTGCCATGGTGCCTTTGAATTCTTGGTTCTAACCAACCAGTTCTGTATTCTAGAGTGATTATAATGGGCAACAAACACCTTCTTTAATCTCCTCTGAAAATAATTCTGATTGGAAATTTAGCCATATGTTTTTTCTATGGAAACACCACCAGTGGTGGGCTGTGAGGGTCTCCCTACCTAGGGAATGAGCACAGATATTAAGCAAACAAAGTCAAGAGAACCAAGGAAGGTATAATTCACTTTCTGGAGGAAGCCATTGTACATTTCCTAAAAGACACCATTATGAGGCCTGTGAAGATTTCACACTTCATAATATGTATTTTTCCTCATGTTTTGTATTCTAGTATGGATTCATCAACACCTGTCTACAATCTCTTGTGGTAGAAAAATTTGGTGAAGAGACATGGGAAAAATTGAAGTAAGTGTGTTAAAGGAACGATGGAGCAACCTGGAAGCCTCCAGGTTTTCTGATGGTTACAGCATTTTACTGACCTATTAAGGCAGCTAGCTGAAGAGACTCATTGTAATACTATAATTACAGTTCCTAAAGAGATTCAGTTACTAGGAAGATTAACTTAAGCATCTTATATACCAACTAGATCCAGAAAAAACCTTATTAAACCATATTTGTCTTTAAGGAAATTATCAGTCTCCATTCCTAAAACCACCCTTAAAACATGGTTCCAATTAAATAATCCTTATGAATGTCACTGAAAGAACTATTTGCTGTTTTTTTTGTTCTGTTTTTGTTTTGTAGCACCAGGGTTTGAACTCAGGGCCTTGTGCACTCTACCACTTGAGTCTTGCTTCCCTGTCCTTTTTGCTTTAGGTATTTTTCAGATAGGGTCTCCTGCTTCTGCCCAGGGTTGGCCTCAGGTTGTGGTCCTACCTCTGCTTCCCTTATAGCTGGGATAACAGACATGCATAACATGTCTGGCTTGTTTTTTAAGATAGTGTTTTGCTAACTTTTTTGCTCTGACTGGCTGTGACTCTTGTTCCTCGCATCTCTGCCTCCATTAAATAACTGAGATTACAGATGTGAGTCACTGTGCCTGGCCCCCATTTGTTCTTTTTTAATTGGAGAAGAGAAAGCAACTACGTTATTTTCATTACACCTAAATGGAGCTTCTGGTCAGAGGTGACAACCCTTCTAAATTTGGCCAGAATCAGTCCTTAGAAATTCCCCAGTTAATTCTTAGTTTTCTCTCCCTGCTTTCATCCAGTAACCCATCTCTAATGATGCTCCTGTCTCCTATAATCTTGTGCTATCCAGCTGCTTTCTTGAAGACTCCCAGCCTTTAAACGTTACTGGTTGGGGCTCAAAGGGACTCATAAATCAGCTGGTCCTATGAAGAGAGAGGATACAAAAATATGGAAAAATGATTGGCTTCTTCAGTAATCAATGACATGCAAATTAAAGCAATTAGGTTCTGCTTTGCATATTATATCTCCAAAAAATTTAAATGATAATAACCAATTCTGGTTAAGTTGCAGCAAAATGGGTAATTGCTGACGCATTGTAAATCAGGGCAGTTCCTTGGAAAGGCATTTGACAGCATGTACCAGAAACTGAAAATGATCAAATTCTTTGAAGTTGTGAGTCTATTCTTGAGAATCTGAGAATCTATTCTGTTACACACATGTGTGCATTTATGTATAAAAAGATAAAATGTAGCCTTATATTTATATATAAAAAAGAAAAATTAAGTCTTCAGTGGTCAAAAACAAACAGACAAACAACAAATGGAATGACTGAAGAAACACCATCATTGTCTGTGAGGACTACAAAGACCATTAAGTGACCTGTCAAATTTCATGACACTATTATGTTATGAAGCCTAAAGAAACAAATAGCAAACAAACATGTACATAGCTACTAGGTAAATCACACAAATGAAAAATGACTAAGAGAAAGACCAAAATAACAATAGTACTTGAATTTCATTTTTGCCAAGTCTCTGGGTGAAATACAGGGGTTCTCTCTCTAAACATTCATTTTTTGAGCTCCTATAGTATGCCTGGTGCTGTGGAAAGCATTGGAGGATATAGAATCACGTAAGTCATGTACACAGGTGGTTTTAAATCTGCAGAAATGTAGATATACCTGGAATGCAAGGACCAGGGTGCTGAAGGTGCGTGTCCCATGGGACACTGGGACCATTTTCTCTGCCATAAACTGGACAGGGGCAGGTGAGCTAGAGCCTTACGCCTCCTGTCTGCCACAGGATCAGTTGTCCCTGCTGCTGGGGTGGTCAGTCCTAGGAGGATGAGTAAGATGGACTGTGGGGTAGACACTGCAGGGGAGGGTGAAGAGCCACCTTGGGGAACAGGATCTGCGTTTTTAGAAACCACTGGACATGGTTGCAAGTCCCTAGGAAGCCATAGTTGGATTTAGCAGGGGCTCTGAGGCTAAAGTGGTGGGGGTCAAAGCCTAGAAGCATAGCCTACAGTCTGTATGACCCAGAACTCACTATTTAACCACTCTGTGACCCAGGTAGTTCATCATAAAAGAATGATAACCCCTCATAGGGGTTGTTGCAAGTGTTAAATGAGAAAGTACAAACCATGCGCTTGGAACAAATGCCTGACCTCATCTGAGTACTCAGTAAATTTCAGCTGCTGTTGTAGAAATTAGCTTATCTTCAAGATGTGGGTTCTCAGTGAGTTGGATGAGATGTGGAGGGACCACAGAGTGTGCATCCTGCTGGACCAGATTTGAGCCTAGGCTCTGATGCTCAAAACTGTGCTCTTGGGCAGGTTCTTCACCTCTCTAAATCTTGGGATAAAGAGGGGAATAGTGTACCTATCTTCTAGGGTTGAGTGGAACAATTTGCCCCCAAGGACCTAATAAGAACACAGCGGGCACCAGTCTCTCCCTCCTCCAATATACAGGAACACCACGAGGAGCAGACTGTACTTGACATAAATAGAAACCATTTTTCTGCTGATCAGATAGCTGTGACTTGCCCCTCAGAAAGCAGATGTGCTCCAAAGGCCCCTCCACGCCCAGAGACCTGGCTTCCCAAGGTTAGTGTGATTTGACAGATGGCGTTATCTTTGCTCCTGTTTTTAGACTGGTCTCCCTGACTCCCCAGTGCCAGACACCATTTAGCCCTTTCTTGAGGGACTAGTGATCAGCCTATGAGGGGAGGGACTGATTTTGGACTCATAAATTTTGTTCCATCTGATTTCCTGGTTAGGAGCTTTACCCAAAGTTCAGCTGCTGCTCATCAGAGTCAGTCCTGCCTAGGAAAAAGGCTAGGGCTCTGGAAGTAGTTGGAAATAACCGGAAATAGCCAGAGCACAGAGTTAAAACAGAAGTGGACTCATCTTTGCCTATAACCAGCAACTGAGATGTGCTAGCTATTTAAAGAAAGCCTCTTGCCCTCTTCTGTATCACTGAACAGTTGTGTTATGACCAGCTACTAGAACTCCATCCAATTTTAAGAAAAAAAACCAAAATCACATTTCCATGTGTAAATCTATGGAAGAGACTTTTTCCTTCTTGGATCCTTGGTGTGACCTCACTGATAGGATGACGCCATCTTCCCATCTTAGAGGAAACTGAACAAGCAGGAAGCCTTGGACTCCTCATGAACTCCAGGGGATCCAAGCGTGGAGGGAACCAGGGGAACACAACAGGGAGCAGAGAACCCAGCAGAGTGACATCCTGAGTGAGTCTATGTCCCTAGGTTTTATCTCTTCTGTTTCAAAGTATTTGCTTAATTGAGTCTCAGAGGATATGTTCGCAATTTGAGCATGAGGTACTTAACAATTGCATTGGAAATGCATCTTTAAGCCAAAAGTCAAGCCTAGCTAACAGATCCAATCAACTATGAAAATTGCACCATATTAGAGCTTGTTATTTTAAAAAACCCTGTAGTACAGAAAACTCAACTATAAAACACAAATTAAGGCAAGATTATTTGCTGTGCAAAAGGATTTGCTTCAGGCTACATTTAAATAACAAATTCCCTAGTGCTTTTAAAATAGATTTTTTTGCTGAAAAAGGAAAAACCCATCAATTCCTATGCAAATTTTAAGAAGAAATGATTGGGTAAAATGAACTATGTCTCCAGACCTTATGACATAGATTTTATTTTATATGAAATAATCAGAAGCAGATGTTTCTTCCCCTTTGCCTGCCTTGTTGATTTCCCTCTCATATAGTCTAGATTTGTAGATTTCTAATTATGAACCACTCTTTTATAACCTCTTGGCTAAAACCTCTAACAAAACTTAACAACAAGAGGCAACTAATAGACTGGGAAGGGCTTTTGGAATCAGATTGGTTTTACATTTTGCCTGGATCACTTACTTGCTATTTGACTTGGGCAAGTGTGTTCACTAAACAAGTGCTTAGCTCCTACCATGGGCAGAGCAGAGTTCCTGGTGCTGGGAATTGTGGTATGTGAACAGGTAAGGGCTTGCCTCTGGGAATGGATTCCAATGTGGAGACAGAAAGTGAACAAGTAAGTGAACAAATAAACAAAAACCCTTCAAATTGTGCAAAGTGCTATAAAACTAGAGTTTGGTAGCGATTAAGAAGAGGTCAGTTTCCGAAGGTGGTCAGAAAAGGTCTCTCTGCAAAGGAAATGCCTGAACTGAGAGGAAGGAATGGGTCCAGGAAGTATGTGTGTTCCAAGCACAGAATGGCAAGTGCAAAGGTCTTGAAGTGGGGCTGAACTTGGTGAATCTGAAATAATCCAATGTGACTAGAATATCATGCATGAAGTGTCTGATAGGAGATGAAAATGGAGATTGTGTTGGGGAGCTGAGTATCTACATGTGTAGATGAAGGGAAGGGGTTGGATTCATTCTATTTGCCATAGGTTACTGAAGTCTCTGGATGTCTCACTTGTAAATGGAGATAGGAATGGTGCTCACTCTACTCACTTGTCAAGAGTTGAGGTGGCTAACAGGTGAGGTGATTAACATCTTGGCACTTTGGTTAGGGAACTGAGTCCAGGTATCAGCATCACACTATGTAAGCTACAGTCGAAGGGAGTTAGTGTAAGGATTCTGAGGACCCTCATGGAGCTCAGCTCCAGGAAATGCAGAAAAACCTCAGAGGAAATGGAAGGCAGCAAGCTCTCTTCTCTCTCACTCCTCTCTTCTTTCTCACTCCTCATGTTTATTCTGTCTTTCCGGCTCTCTCTGCAAGTCTCCTAATTTCTGTTGCTTCCAAACTTTTCTAGTGCCTTTTAGATTCAAGAGCTCACCATCAAGAGCTCGCCATCATCTGACTGGTTCTGTATCTCAGGGTCTGTGGTCCAGATACCTTCTGAGACAGAATGTTTGATGGGCTGACTTTGATCAGATGTCCGTACCCCGGCCCCATCAAGGTCCTAAGAAGAGGTTGTGGATACTGCATCAGGACTGGCATATGTTCCCCACTGTACAGATGGATGCATGGAG